TTCTAAGTAATGAGCAAGGAAACAAGGTAATAAAAGATATGATGTCATTGTCTAATGTCTTCCGCTTGCGATATCACTGAACGTGTCTTGCTTGTTCAGAGAATATTTATCCGTGGTCTCTGCACATTCTATGTCGGTGGATCTGATTTCTGAAGTGCGATATTCGAAGACTTGTAGAGTATTGAAGTACAAGTAATTTCTTAATTTTATATTATTTTTTTTATTTTATGAACATCATTACTAACCGATAACATTATTTTATTCAATGATTTAACGATAAAATGAATCGCTTTTTCTTTAGGAGTGCAATACAATCAGCAATAAATTGAAGCATTGAATTGAATTGAATTTGCCTTATTTTGAAGCATCACGAAGATTAGTTGGTCAGTCAAAATAAAAATAGAAAGTTTTGTATTGTGTTTTACATTTGAAATTGTGCCTTATTTCAGGGTCAATGTATGTACATTTGCATTCCAATGTGAATAAACATTCATTCTCAGTAGTTTTATGCAAAGCGCTTCGCAATATTCAGTGACTATACACTTACGAGTAGTCAATGGCTTTCGGATTAGCATCTATTTTCTATGTTATCTCTTCTTACAAGAATGAACGAAACGATTAATTCCTTCAGAAATGACACTTTGAGCAGCGAATGACGATGGATCGAATTGTTTTCCTATTCTTTATTTCCTAAACGTTCAAAATTTATTGATTACACACTTTAAACTTTTTTCTATGCAACTTATTAACACGCATCAACAGTCTAAATTGCATGAAAAGGAAAATTGCAAGTCATAGTTCTCTAATTTAATAATTCTTACATATTCGTGTTATGAGTGAAGACGAAACTAAAAATACAACACAGAAGAGATGGGAGATGACGTTCATAACAAACAAATCCAATCCAATCAGATAAGAGTTTGATGAGCATTTGAAAAGCGTTTCAAAACATTTTCTAATTTGGGCGAATAATTAAAGATATCACAGTGAGATTCACTAATTAGTTACGGTAGTCTTCTATCGCGCATATTACACTTTTATTTCTCACATTAATCACTGATGGAAATAAGTGGGGGAGGGGAATCAATGAAACCCCCCACGCATGTTTTCCTAATTTAGCTTTGTTTTTGACCACACGAAATAAATGATCATACATGAAGATTTACACATACACGGCTCATAGATGTGCATGAAATTTTGAAGAAACTCTTCACAGAAATGTAGAGACGTCTTTTTACTGTTTATAAATATTCATGTGCGACGAAAACTAACCTGTCATTGTTTAATGTCGTCTCTTTCGTACATCGTATTTACTTCGTATTAGAAACTTTGTCAGAACTCATTGTTTACTATTGAGAATTTTGTCATCCTTTTGATAATCATGATGCACGTGTGTTAGGATTTTTGGCTCTCTGTTGGGCAAATGAAAATTAATTCTCTTAATAATTCGGTAATAGTTTTTCTGATGTTTTTGAGAACATTAGAACTCTTTGACAGCTATTTGAGAGCTCTTCAAATATTTCGATAGATCTGATTTTGGCTCGCAGCCCGTTTTTTGCTTTTTAATTTAATTTTTGTGATAATTTTGTCGAATATATTCGAAAACTCTAAATCTCTTTGTTCGCTACTCAAAACTCTCAAAATATTTAGGATTTTCAAAATTTACCCCTCATAGATCATGCATAGTCAAACAAATGTATCGCATTGATTCATTATTTGTTTATGTCCCAGTTGTTTTTTTCAGCCGAGAGCTGGATACCACATACATCTCGATGCGACGCTTATTCGGCCATAGTCTAGACACTAACACACTTGAGGGTTCCTCTCATCTGGGGTCAACAGAACGCGAGGCCGTACGAGACAATACGTACATGAGAGACAAAGGTACAAACCACCATACCCAAGACAAGACACGAACCCGCGACCGCAGCGCTGGGTCGGTACCCGCTCGGCCATTAAGGTCGACTCGATTCATTGTACTTTTCAAGAATATTTGATTGAGAAAATGAACTATTTTTATTCTACTCCTTTTCTCAGACCACTCGAGGTAATTCCTTAGGGTTTTAACGGTCGTTTGTAGGTCATCCAAATCCTGGCCCTCCGCGTGCGTGCCGGGGGCGGGCGGGCGTGCGAGGGGGGCGCGTGCCCAGGGTCAGAGGCGACCGACGTGACGCGCCAGGCAGGTGCGTAACTGTTGTGCAGCTTCTTTGCCAGAGCGCGGCCCATGGCGTGAGGCGGGGGGGGGGGGGCGGGTGTGGAACGCGCCCACCGCCAACCACCGCCGGCGCCACGCCCGCGCAGCGCGCAGCGCACGCTCCCGCCCCCCGCCCCGCCGCCGGCCCCGCCCGCCCGCCCGCCCGCTCCATCGCACGCGGAAGCCGCGCAGCTCGCAAGTGTGCGCAATGACAGCGCGCCGCGCGTAGAAAAGGAACAGGAAACTCTATCAGCGGCGCTCCCAATAAGGAAGAGATCTCGCCGAGAAGGCGATGAGGCATGTTCACAAATATAGTTTTTGCCCTTTTTTAATAGTATCTACCGAAAGTTATTCTGAATACCTTATAAATGACAATAAATCAACAAATGAAAACGAATTTTAAATTCAGCAACAATTGAAAAACTATTTATTGGAAAACATCAATCGGTTACACCCACAGATAAATACTCATTGTGCAAGTGTTAATACCAGCAATTGATTTATTTTATTGATAATTTGTTTGCTGAATTGACCGTTTACATATTAGTGTTTGAACGGTTTAATCTCAAAAGTTTTCATTTATAAAAATATTCCTGTAATATTAACAAAACAATCAATATGTATCTTATTGGTTCCATTCATGTCGTGGTTACCGTCCCTATGTGAGAGGAAGTCAACGGTAATCCGCTAACGGGGAACTTCTGCTTCTATGCAAAATATATATGAGAACGCAAACTGAAATCGAAGAAGGGTCTGCGTAGCTAAACAGAAGGATGTTTCCGGAAAGACATGTACTACTTAAAGCTTAGCTGAACGGTGATGGGACCTGAAGTTCCGGGAACCCGTACTGAAAGAGATTGGCCGGGAGGCCGGAGGTTTGTCGGGTCCGTAGAATGCTATGAACATAATAATAATAATAATAATAATAATAATAATAATAATAATAATAATAATAATAATAATAACGGATTTCCTAATCTTTTAAATGACCTGGACGATTGGATTAGTTATTTCTTGGATTGTCCGTAACAAATCCCAAAACTTGTATATCTATAAGTACAACGTTCTTTTACATCCCATTTAGTGTTGATCCCGATTTCCAAACTCTTGTGTGTAAGACGTTTCTCTGCCTCCTTCACTACGACGTTCTAATCGCGCAGCAACATCTAAAAGTAGACATGACATTTTCTCCCAATCCCGGAAAACAATATCTGAATTGTTTGCGGTCAAACAATCGGTAAGGATTTGTTGGTCGTACAATATTGTAAACAATCTAGACTTTGGTCAGTGTTCGTACCACTTGGAGCATGTATTTCGAACTTTGAAGTCGTTACAGATTTGCCAATGGAGTTAACCGTTGACCCTATCATGCCTTTTCATGTATTGGAAAATTACTATACTAATGTTACTCTATAAAGAAGAGTTTCTCTAAGAAGGGATCACTTTGACAGGTCGGAAAACAAATGAACGTCTTGCAGGGCGATGACATTTCAAGACATAGTGATGAAGTCATTTGCAAATGGGCTAACTGCTATCGAACGCACTGACAAAATGAGCGCTTGGTCGTACCTTGCAGTGATATTGTTAGCACTGTTCAAGCAGTAGCTGTCAAAGCGGCCTTTTTTTATAATAATCACTCTATAGACTTGCACAAATGGAGACAAAATGATCAATGGTGTTTACCTGTTAGGACAAATCCCGGGAAATTTCGAGAGTCGCTTTATGGCAATGTACTAGTATTCTTATTGTATAATCTTTCGCAGCTATTACAACTACTTTCGATTCTGGCTTCATTCTTCCCCTTTTAAGCCAAGCCACACAAATGATCAGTCTTCGTTGGTTTGTATCTCATCCATTCTGTTTAGAAATTGTCTTGGTGTGTTTTTTCTCTCCACGATTTCTTTAATATTAATTAGTAATATCTTC